ATATATATGTGTGTGTGTGCATGCATATATATATATATATATGCATATATATATTTATTTATTTATTTAAGTTTATTTGTTAATATTACTATTTTTATTTTTATTTTTTTTTACATTCTGTGATACTGCAGAGAAGTTGGGGGAGGAGGGGGAGAGGGGAAAAGGTAAGGAAATAGGGTAGGAGAAGGAGGAAGGAGGAGGGGTGAGGTTGAGGCCTGTGGCATCCCTCTCATTTCCACATAGGAGGCCAGGGGGCTTCCAGCGGTGGCTTGGTCATTTCTGGGCTGGGTACAGATGTCAGAGGGATGTGGCTGAAGCCCTTGCAGGCCCTCCCCAGCTCAGGAGCCTGGAGTGCTTCCTGTGGGGGCTCGGTGGTCATCACTGGGCTGGTTGCAGGTGTCAGTGGGGTGTGGCTGAGGCCCGCAGCCCTCCCTGCTCCCTGGCTTGGTAGCCCAGGGGACTTCCACTCCTTCTAGGTTTTATAGGTGTCTTTGGTGATGAGAGATCTCTACTAGTTAGTATCAAACTTTGTCTCTGGTCTGTGTTGGATTATTTGCGCACTCAGTGCGCACTGCGCTGGGCTGGGAATGGATCCAGGTGGCCGCGGTGAAGCCTATCTGCTGGATTCTGTGACTGCGGCCCCGCAGGGCATGTGGTCTGCGTGGAGCTTCTGCCTCCCCCACTGGACGTCTCCCCGTTCTGTATGCACTTGATGTTATGTTTTTATAGTTTAAATCGGTTGATTTGTGGGAGAGAGTGACGCTAGGGACCGTCTATTCCGCCATCTTGACCGGAAGTCCTTGCTTGAGTTTTTGAAAGACACACCATCTTTACCTGCCGGCCAGCGAGACCGCCGTCCGCAGACCCCGGAGCGCTCCCGCCAGCCTGGCTGGAGCCAGATGGCACCGCCTGCATCCTTTCAGTCGCCGCCGCCACCATCTGCTGCTCCCACTTCCAGGACTCGACGCTACACTCACCGCTCCCACTGAACTGCAATTGCTGCGCCTTAGAGTGTGACACTATAACATCAGGGTCAATGGTTTGAATCCTCTTGCCGATCAGCTGCCAAAAAAAAAAAATTGTGTAAATCTGTCATACCACTGCTGTCTTTCCAAGTGGTATCAGAAGGATACATATTTTGGTGTTTTTGTGTTTGTCTCTAACAGAAATGCCAACACTTTAAGATAAGAATAAGATTATTAAAAGAAAAAAAGAATAACCAGAGATTTTTAGAACAAATAAAGAGCTCTGTAAGGTTCCTGTAATACAAGATCAACTTACAAAATTAGTAGTGTTCCTAAATCTAGCAATAATAAATTTTAAAATATAATAGACAAGAAAGTACAGGCATACCTTGGAATTAAAAAATACTTTATTGCTAACAAGTGCTAATTATTATCTGAACCTTAAGCACATCATGATCTCTTTACTTGTGGAAGGTCTTCCCTTTTTGTTGATGGCTGCTGACTGATCAGAGTGGTGGTTGCTTAAGGTTGGGGTGGCTGTGGCAATTTCCTAAAATAAGACAACAGTAAAGTTTGCTACATCTTTCATCTGACTCTTCCTTTCATGAAAGATGTCTCTGTAGCATGCGATGGATGCTGTTTGATAGCATTTTACCCACAATAGAACTTCTTTCAGAATTTGTTCACTCCTTTCCAATCTTGATTTTGCTTCATCAACTAAGTTTACATAGTATTCTAAATCCTTTGTCGTCAGTGTTATTCACAGAATTTTCACCAGATAGATTCCATTTCAAGAAACGACTTTGTTTTGCTCATCCATCAGAAGCAACACCTCATCTGTTAAAGTTTTATCATGAGATGGCAACAATTTAGTCACATATTCAGGGTCCACTTCTAATTCTAGTTCTCTTGCTGTTTCTACCACATATGCAGTGATTTCCTCCACTGAAATCTTGAACCCCTCAAAGTCATCCATGAGGGTTGCAATCAACTACTTCCAAACCCCTGTGAATGTTGATGTTTTGACCTCCCGTGAATCACGAATGTTCTCCATAACTTTCTGCTGCTTCTAAATCAGCACTTACTGCCTTACTTGCACTTTTATGTTACAGAGACAGCCTCTTTTCTTAAACTCATGAACCAGCTTCTGCTACCTTCACACTTTTCTTCTACAGCCTTCTCACCTCTTTCAGCCTTCCTAGAATTGTAGAGAGTTAGGGCCTTGCTCTGGATTAGCCTTTGGTTTAAGGGAATGTTGTAGCTTGTTTGACCTGTTCCATCCTACGCTATCCAGTCCAGGATGTGAATCATCCTTTTGTCTCATGAACCAGCTTCTGCTACCTCTTAAACTCATGAACCAGCTTCTGCTACCTTCACACTTTTCTTCTACAGCCTTCTCACCTCTTTCAGCCTTCCTAGAATTGTAGAGAGTTGGGGCCTTGCTCTTTAATGGTGAATCTTTTTCAGAAGGTTTTCCATTTACTTTGCCCAGATTCATCAGAGGAATCACTATGGCAACTATAGCCTTATGAAATGTATTTCTTTCTTATGTATTTTGGTAAAACATATAAAGATTGCCATTTTCAGCATTTTAAAATACGCAATCTCATGAAATTAATTACACTCACAATGCTGAGTAACTACTACTTCAGTCTATTTCCAAAATTTTGTCATCATCCTAAACACGGGCTCTGACCCATTAAGCAATAACTGCTCATTATTGTCCCCCTCCCCTCCCATTTCTGGTAATCTCTTAACCTCTAGTCTACTTCTGACTCTGAAATTTTTTTTAACTTATTTTTTCTTAATTGACCCATGATAATTGTATATATTTATGGAGTACAGTATGATATTTTCATACATTTATACAGTGTGCAATGATCATATCAGGGTACTTAGCATATCCCTTACCTCAGGTGTTTGTCACTTCTTTGTGTTGGGAACATCCAACGTCTCTCAGCCAGGTACTTGAAGTTGTACAGTAATGTGTTGTGGATTGTATGAGATATATTTCTTAAATAATAAGACGTGAAAGTTGTAATTACTCTTTCATCCATGGGCTGCAGAATAGATGTGTTATCAGGCAAGAAAACAACATCAGTCTCCTTGTACATCTCGATTAGAGCTCTTGGGTGTCTAGGTGTGTTGTCAGTGAACAGTAATATTTTGAAAGGAATCTTTTTTTTTGTGAGCAGCAGGTCTCAACAGTGGGCTTAAAATATTCAGTGAACTGTGCTGTAAACAGATGTGCTGTCATCCAGGCTTTGTTGAGGACAAGCAGAGTAGTATTTAGCATAATTATTAAGGGCCCTAGGATTTTGAGAATGGTAAATAAGCATTAGCTTTAACTTAAAGTCAGTAGCTGCATTAGTCCCTAACGAGAGCTAGCTTGTCCTCTCAAGCTTTGAAGCCAGACATTGACTTCTCTCTAGCTGTTAAAGTCCTAGATGACATCATCTCCCAATATAAGACTGTATTATCTACACTGAAAATCTATTGATTCGTGTAGCCACCTTCATCAGTTATCTTAGCTAGATCTTCTTGATAACTTTCTGCTGCTTGTACATCAGCACTTACTGCCTTACCTTGTACTTTTATGTTACAGAGATAGCTTGTTTTCTTAAACCTCATGAACCAGCTTCTGCTACCTTCACACTTTTCTTCTACAGCCTTCTCACCTCTTTCAGCCTTCCTAGAATTGTAGAGAGTTAGGGCCTTGCTCTGGATTAGCCTTTGGTTTAAGGGAATGTTGTAGCTTGTTTGACCTGTTCCATCCTACGCTATCCAGTCCAGGATGTGAATCATCCTTTTGTCTAGCATATCCATGCTGTATAGGCTACCTACTCGGTAGTCACTTAGTGGCTGTCTTGGTTATTAAATCGACTGTGGCAGTATTAAGTGTTGTATTCAAGTAGCCCTTATTTTACTTAATGATGGCCTCAAAGTCTAAGAGTAGTGAATGCTGAAATATTGTTATAATTGTTCTATTTTATTATTAGTTATTATTGTTAATCTCTTACTGTGATTGATTTATAAATTAAACTTTATCAGAGGTATGTATGTAGAGGAAAATATATCACATGTATAGGATTTGGTACTATCCTTGGTTCAGGCACCCACTGGCGGTCTTGGAATGTATCCCCTGCAGATAAGGGGGAACTACTATATAAAGAACATAAAAGGAGCTACAAATCATTAGGAAGCCGGTATAAATCTAAGGGTATAGAAAAGCAATTCAGAGAAGAGTAAACAATTGTAAAAATATGCTCAACTTCAGTAGTAATCAGGAAAATGCAAAATAAAATAAGATAAAGTGTCACTATATTGGTAAAAATTAAAACTTCTCATTATAGTAGGTAATGGAGATGTGAGGAAATGGAAATTCACTATTAGTGGAAGGATAAATTGGTACAGCCTTTTTGGAAAACAGTCATGATACTTAGAAAAATTAAAAATGAAAATTGAAAATAACCCTAACATTTTTACTTCTAAGCATATAAACTAGAGGAATTTCTCAAATAGATTGAGTAAGAATGTTTGTTGTGTTATTTGTAACCATGGAAAAAGTTGACTGCCTATTTCTAGACTAGGTAGACTGGACTGGCCAGTTTGCTCACTTGGTTAGAGTGCAGCCTTATAACACCAAGGTCACAGATTTGTATCCCAGTACCAGCTAGCTGCCAAAAGAAAAAAAAAAAGACTAGGTAAACTGATGTGTGTTATTTATAAAGCAAATAAAAGTGAGTAAAAAAATGAAACTATGTATGTATAGTTTTTCTTAAGCTATTAAATTGGATTATTTTGATTTAATATGTGCAGTGTTTAAAACTTCTTCAGCTCTCTATCAACTGACTTGCTAATTTACATTTTGGGGGTTTTCCCCTAATAATTAATTACTGATTATTTTTATTGATTATTATTTCCCTAAGTTTAAGATTGTTTTTCCCTTGACATTGACTTCTCTGAATCTACTATGAGAAAGAAGTAGCATTCAAAAACTTATTTGGCTTCTTCATTATTGATTCTTTTTTATAGGACTAGTGTTCCAAGCCAAATTCCCTCTGCCAAAAGAAGTTTGGGATTTCTTCCTCAGTCAGCTCCTCTTTCGGTTAAAAAACTGAGGTGTAACCAAGATTACACTGGCTGGAACAAACCAAGGGTGCCCCTTTCCTCTCACCACCAACAACAACTGCAGGGGTAGGTAAATTCTTTTATTTCAATTCCTTTTGTATAAAGTAATTCACATGAAGTATGCTTTATTTGGTGTAAAAAAAAAAAAAATGAAAGGAGTCACATTAATTATAGCTCTAAAATATTTAGAAATTATATCACTTACTAAAGGTTTATCATGTCCATACATAATGTTAAGTCCATCATCAGTCTCCAATTATTTTTGAACTTCAAGATATATGTAATACTCATTTTATGGGCCGGCCCGGTGGCGCACTGCTACAGTGTGCCGCTTGAGAGTGCGGCGGCGCTCCCGCCGAGGGTTCGGATCCCACATACAGACCGGTTCCCGCTCACTGGCTGAGCGAGGGGCGGGCGCAGCACCGAGGGTTGCTATCCCGTTGCCGGTCCCGGTCCGGTACGGGCGTGACACTGAGGGTTGCGGTCCGTTGCTGGACACGAAAAAAGACAAAAAAAAAAAAAAAAACCATACTCTTCATCCTGCTGTTGAGATACTTTCAAGATTAAGTTTTATATGTATCCTCCCAAGTCCTTTCATGATTATATTTTTATTAAACACAAAAATGAGATGATAGTATAACAACTGTAATAATAATTAATAGTAGCTGTTTTACCCTAAGTGTTTACTATGTACCAGATATTGAGTGTTAATTGTTTGAATGGGGTTCCCCCTCTTTATTTCCTTGCAACAGCTCTGTGAGATAGAGATATTAAAAATCTGCTTTGATCGGGCCAGCCCCATGGCTCACTCGGGTGAGTGCGGTGCTTAATAGCCGCAGGTTCAGATCCTATATAGGGATGGCTGATGCGCTCACTGGCTGAGCGTGGTGCAGACAACACTGTGCCGAGGGTTGCGATCCCCTTACTGGTCCAAAAAGAAAGAAAAAAAATCTGCTTTGATAGATAATTACATTAACTTGCTCAAAGTGATATAGTTGGTATACAGTAGTAGTAAATCCAAGCAGTTGGACTCCAATTGCATTCTTAACTACTATGCTGTATTGCTTCTCCGTTCTTTTTTTCACTATACATTAATCATGGGCTTTTTTATAAAAATTAATACAGAACTTTCAACCATGTTAATGTGCATTTAGCTTTCCCTTTTTTCCACTTACAATCCAGGCTAGAATGAACATTCTTATACATGTACACATATGTTTTTAATACTTGTTGGAATTTATCTATAGAATAAATTCTTAGAAGTGGAATTGTTAGGACTAAGGAAGGTACTTTGAAATTTTTTTTTTCCTTTTTGTCTTTTTTCGTGACCGGTAACGGGATCGCAACCCTCGGTGTCGCGCCCGCACCGCGCTCAACCAGTGAGCGGACCGGTCTCTATATGGGATCCGAACCCTCGGCAGGAGCGCTGCCATGCTCCCAAGCGCCGTACTCTACTGAGTGCGCCACCGGGCTGGCCCGGTACTTTGAAATTTTTGATTACTCTTACCAAATTGCCCTCCCAAAACCTACCAGCTTGTTTTTAATCTCATTCAAATTACTGCTTTAATACCAGCTTTAAATTTATCACTTTTTCTTGAATGAGTCATGTCTGCCAGTTTGGCTTATCCATAGGCCTTTATATGCTTCATGTATTAGCAGGAAACATCATAAAATTTGCAGTGAAACATTTCATTTTCCTCTCTTCTTACCTCTTGCTTTCTCTGATCCTCATCTTTCTTGCTCTGCCTTCTACAATGTTTGCCTTCCTGTATAATACTTAATTCCCTTTGTTCTTCATTCTGATTAATCTGTCTCAAGTTATTATTTTGCTGTTTCCTTACCAGACAGCATTCTTATATTGGTCTTATCTATCCCATTTTGTGACAATTCTTTATCCAAGTCTTATCTTTGTCTACCTTGGTCTCATTTTTCTAATTTTCTCATTGCCTCCTCTTGTGTATTTATAGGTAACTTCTAGTCTCTGTTATTCACTTCCTTCAGACTCTTTGATAACCTCATGAGTTGCCCACCCTTGTACCCATTTTTTTTTTTTTTTTTTAAAGATGACCGGTAAGGGGATCTTAACCCTTGACTTGGTGTTATCAGCACCACACTCTTCTAAGTGAGCTAACTGGCCAGCCCTATATAGGGATCCGAACCCATGGCCTTGGTGTTATCAGCACCACACTCTCCCGAGTGAGCCACGGGCCGGCCCTGTACCCATTTTTAGAAATACATCTTTCCTTTTTTCAGACTTCTTCCAGGAATTAGAGTATAGTATTTCAAGTAGATCAAATATTTCAAGTAGATCAGAGAATCTCAATGCTACATAAATTGTTTTAGAGCATAGAAAATGAAGGAAGTCTTCCAATATTCACTTTCAATGAAGTAAGTATAACTAAATCTGTACAAGTAGCACAAAAAAACTTAAAAGCCAATTTTGTTTCTGAATATTGATGCAAGAAATCCTAAGTCAAATATTAGTCAAGAGACTCCAGTATCACAATAAGAAAAGAATACACTATGTCCAAATGGTTTTATACCAGGCTTGCAAGGATAGTTCAATATTAGGAAATCTATTAATATAATTTACTATATTAATAGGTACAAGGAGAAAAAGCATATTATTTTACTCATCGATCCTGAAAAAACTTTTGTCAAAATTCAACACCCATTTCTGATAAAAAACACTTCAAAACATAGGAATCAATGGATACTTCCTTAACTTGATTAAATATATACCTCAGTCTTTAAACTAGTGTACCTTACTTAAGGTCAGGAACAAGTCAAGGATGCCTACTGTTTTTACTTCTGTTTAACATTGTGCTGGAATTATTAGTCAATGCAATTAGACAAGAGAAAAAAGTTGAGGCATAAGAATTGTAAATGAAAGAAGGAGAAACTCAAGTGAATCAATGATAAAACTAACTCAGACAATTAAAGGATTTAGTCAGATAGCAGAATTAAAAATTTACATGCATGTTATTACAAATAACCAGTTAGAAGATATAATAGAAGAAAATACCCAATTTACGTAGCAATAAAAAAAGATGAAATAGGCATAAACTTAAGCAGAATTGTTTAAAATTGAATAAGAAAACTACAGGGCCGGCCCGGTGGCACACTGGATAGTGCGCCGCTTGGGAAGCGCAGCGGCGCTCCTGCCCGAGGGTTCGGATCCCACATACGGACCGGTTCCCGCTCACTGGCTGAGCGAGGCGCGGGAGCAACGCCGAGGTTTGCAATCCCGTTGCTGGTCCCCGGTCCGGTACGGGGGCAACACTGAGGGTTGCGATCCGTTGCCGGACACGGAAAAAAGACAAAAGACAAAAAAAAAAAAGAAAACTACAAAACACTCCCAAAAGGCACACAGTAAACTTTTTCCCCCCCCAAAAAAAGATGATTGGTAAGGGGATCCCAACCCTTGGCTTGGTGTTGTCAGCACCACGCTCAGCCAGTTAGTGAACCGGCCATCCCTATATAGGATCCGAACCCATAGTCTTGGTGTTATCAGCACCGCACTCTCCCAAGTGAGCCACGGGCCAGCCCGACAGTAAACTTAAATACATAGAAAACATTCATTGTTCTTGGTTAGGACATCTTAACATAATCAATATATGGTTCTCCATAAAATATTTTATAAGTTTAATGTGATAGCAATAAAAATACTAACAAGATTTTTTAGAGAAGAAGCCAGACTAGTTGATATATTCGTGTGGAAAAATAAACACAGAAGAATAGGTAGGAAAATACTGGATACAAATAGCTAGGAGGGGAGAATAGCCTTACCAGATACTTAAAAATATTATTAATTCAGTATGATTAAAATTACTTGGTAGTGATACATGAATAGACAGATCAATGGAATTCAATAGAAAGACCAGATTATAGGGACAAAGAAGGATATTTTTGAAACAGTGTTGGATAACTATACAGCCATTTTGAAAGAGTTATAATTAGATTCATTCTTCAACTGTACACAAGAATAAATTCCAAATGAATCAGAGTCCTAATTGTAAAAAATGAAACTGTTTAAGTACTGGGAGAAATTGTGGGTGAATTTTTCTATAATATTGGTGTGAGAAAAGGCTTTGTAAATATGATTCAAATTCAAGATTCAGTAAAAGAAAATACTGATAAATTTGACTACATAAAAATTAGATTTTGCATGGCTAAAAACATAAATGAAGACAAATGATAAGTTTGGAGTTAATATTTGCAACATATATCATGATTAAAGGGCTGATGTTTCTTATGTATGAAAAATGTTATAAATTGAGGGGAGAGAAAAACGTCAGTGAAGTGGCAGAGTAGGCAACTCTGAGGGCCTGTCCCTTCAAAGAAATATTGAAAAATCAAATAAAAAGTGTCAGAATCAACTTCGTTAGAACTCTGGAAAATAAAGGGTTATAGCAGACAAGCAAACATTGAATCAAGAAAAAGGCAACTTAAAAATAGTAGGGAATTAGATTTTAAAACTCCTGTGTATGTATACTGGGAAAATTTGAAAGCTAAGTGCATGCGCATGGCTAGAGTCATGCAATGAAAAGACCTGAGAAGAACTTAATGCTGTTACTTCTGGCTGATCTCTAGGCTCAGTGTAAGTAGGAAGTGAAGTCTAAGGAGAGTTAATTTGCCTGGATAAGCACTCAAGGATTTGCACCAGCCCAGGGACAATCTGCAAAGACTGGGAGGAGTTGTTTCTTCTTACTTCCTTCTCCTTCTTTTCCCCCTTTCTTTTCCCCCTCCTTCCCTTCCTTTTCCCCCTTCTTCGCTGATGTTAAAGGAAATCTGTCAAAACATTAGCTGAACACAAGCTTAAAGAACAGAAACCACATGTCACAAAGAGTACAGACTTTACAAAAGGAGTTTAGAAAAGTCAGTATACACCTACAGCCTACAACAAGTAACAAAGACAAATCCTGAGGAGGGGAAAGAATCTGATTTCTAGAATTACCATATTGTAATATTAAAAATGTCCAGCTTTCAAGAGAAAATTAAAAAGCATGCAAAAAAATAAGAAAGAATAGCTCATTCTTAGTAGATATTAACAGAAACTCTTCCTT